TGCGCGGACTCTGTGGGCGGGGCTCCAAGACGCTCCAGGGTGGTGGTGGGGCACGCACCTGTCGCAGGTCCCTGCTGGAGGCTGCCTAGGATCTTCTCACCCAAGAGATGAATCAATCGAGTCACCACCTGGAGGCAGAAAAAGCAGACAGACCTCAAACTACACTTCCGTTTTGAGTCTGGTTCTCCGCATTTGTCTGTATTGCGGACTCTGTGGGCGGGGCTCCAAGACGCTCCAGGGTGGTGGTGGGGCACGCACCTGTCGCAGGTCCCTGCTGGAGGCTGCCTAGGATCTTCTCACCCAAGAGATGAATCAATCGAGTCACCACCTGGAGGCAGAAAAAGCAGACAGACCTCAAACTACACTTCCGTTTTGAGTCTGGTTCTCCGCATTTGTCTGTATTGCCTATGGTAGTCTGAAACTAGAAATTCTTGCGCCTCGACCTTCCAAGTAGCTGGGCTACCGCACATTTTAAACCACTAAATGCTGGGAACTAAAGACCCCACAAGGACGCTCAAACAGGACACTGGGCCCCTTTTCTGCACTGCTCTGGACTGGGAATTGTGGGCTTGGGTGAGGAGGCCCTGGGGAGGAAATGGGCGCCCAGGCCAGGGCCAGCTGTGCAAGAGGCAGGTGTAAGGAGCAGGCCCCTCCTCCTCACCCCAGCGCTGGCAGAGAGACAACTCCCGGAGGAGGACAAGGACAGACCGACGGGGCCTCCCAAGCTGAGGTATACCGTGGCAAGGTGCCAACTGCTCCTACCTGGCCGGATCACACCAGGCTGGGTACCAGATGATACCCAGGAATCATCACATTTTAGATACAAGAAGGTTATTTTCAGTTGTATTCATGTTAAACAGTTATAGATTAGTGTATTTAAGGTTCAAGTATCAAATATCTATAACCTGTTTTTTAAAAACATAAAAATTTTTTTGAGGCAGGCAAGGTGCTACTGAGCTAAATCCCTGGTCCTGATGATTTTTTTTTTGAGATGGGGTCTTGCTATGTAATTCAGCCTGGGCTTGAACTCACTATGTAGAACAGTTTGGCTTCAAACTCATGGTGATCCCCCTGCTTCAGCCACTTAAGCACTGCAATTACAGGTATGCACCACCACACCCTGTGAAAAAACTAATACTTAATTGATATTACTGTCAGAATTTACTTTCTCAATGCTTTTGTGTAAGAATAAAGTGAGTTGAGTGCTTTTTAATTGCTATAATTTTCAAGCTGACAGAAGACACACTGCAGGCTGTCTACCCACCACTGCTCTGTTTTTGTTTTTGTTTTTGTTTTTTGGTACCGAGAATCTAACTCAGGACCTTGCGCTTGCAAGGCAGGTGCGGTGCCACTGAGCTAAATCCCAGCCTTCCTACCACTGCTCTTGGGTGAGTCAAGAAAAAATTGAGGGGACACTGTGCTGTCGGCACCTATAGCCCTCAAGGTGACCTGGGAGCAAGTGTTTTTCCTCTCCTTCTCTGTGGCCTCCAGGGCCCACTTTGGACTGAGTCTTGGCCCTCATAACCCTGAAAGGAGCTGTGTGGGGACTCTCGTAGTGTCACTGCCCGGGTGAGGGAGCAGGCCAGCCCCCTGCAGACAACTCGTCCAGGCAGCTATGGTCAAAGAGCCAAACTTTAGGGTATGAAACAAATAGTATGCACAGAGGGGTCCAAAATAGATGCCAGAAAGTGTGATACTCTACACACAGTGAATCTAGCACCATTTGCTAGCTGGGACTTTTAAAAATTCATTTTATTACAGCCAGGAATTTACCTCAGTGGCACTGCACCTGTCTTACAAATGCAAGGTCCTAAAATGCAAGGTCCTCATACCTCCCCAAAAATTAATTTTATGATAGAAAACTTGAGACATACATCAGCAGAGAGAAGAGCACAGAATACAGCTCTCCTGCCATTCTCTTCAAGTTTCATTTCACACACACCCTGGAAATTTCTTACCAAAACAATAAAAAAGAGGTAAAGGCTCAACAGAGACCAATATATGCATTAGAAGGTACTTCGTACTTGTTTTTTATTTTTGGACCAGGGATCAAACTCGAGACCTTGTGCTTCCAAGGCAGGCAGCAGTGCCACTGAGCTAAATCCCCAGCCCTGGATTTTTTTGTTTTATTTAGTTTCGGTACTGGGTACCAAACTTGGAACCTTGCACTTGTGAGGCAGGCAAGAGAACCACTGAGCTACATTGCCAGCCCTCTTCATACCTATTTTTGTGTGTATATGGTCTTTGGGCTGAACACAGGATCTTTGCACTAAGCTATACCCCACCCGTCATTTTAAAATTTTGAGACGTGGATCTCACTAAATTGTTTAGTTGCTCAAGTTGGGCCCGAACTTTGGATGTTCCTGCCTCGGCCTCCCAGAGGCTGCTCTCAGAATTTTTCGGTACTGGTAATCTAACTCAGGACCTTGTGATTGCCAGACAGGTGCAGCGCCACTAAGCTACATCCCTGGCCCCTCAGAATCTTCTTTAATCACCAGATAATATACATTTACACCAGAGTGAGATGCTACTTCCTGCCCAAGGTAAGGTGAAACAGTTGCCAAGGCTGGGCAACACAGCCACTCTGGAGAACAAGCTGCACTTCCCGACCTCACACGTCCACCTGGCACCAGCAACTCCACAAAGAAACGCCACATCCGTGAGAGCTGCACTTCCCAAACAGGTGCTTGGCAGCCCGTTTCCAACAGCCCCAGACTGGAAGCCACCTGATGTCCACTGCAACAGTGATGTGAGCCCTGTGTGGAAAGGCCCTGGCCCTGCTGGCTCATGTTTCACCCAGGCCACAGAAGATGGGCAACCTCAGGTTCCCGTCCCGGTGCTAAAGATAAGCAGCTGCAGCCTCCTGTGAGAAGCAGCGAGGCTGAGAGTGGAGACATGGAGCTGAGAGGGCTCTGTACCCCTAGGCATGGATGTTGAGTTTTCCGCAGAGGGGGCACCTCTATCTCCCCAGTGCTGCTGCTGACCAGTTGCAGGACGCAGACCCCTGGTTCCCAGAAGAGCCATCCTCTTCCCTGGAAAGGGCCAACACCTTCGCTGGGTGTTGCTGGCTGACTGTGCAGCACAGCGGTCCCCACACAGCCCCAGACGCTGCTGACCAGTGGCCAGGGCACCGCCCTGCTGCCAAGAGTGAGGGCCTCACACCAAGATGCAGCAACATCCTTGATCCCACAGGCAAAAAACAGCCCAGAACCAGGGAAGGTGAGGAGCAGCCTGCAGCTGCAGCCTCAAGCTCTGCTAGGTGCTCCCAGGGTCACCACCATCACTAGGGGTACCCTGCTCTGGAATGGCTAAGCACTGATTGAAGGAAATAAATCTGTGCCTGCAGATTCTTAGCTGTCCCTCCCCTACTGTGGACTATTCCTTTGGGCAGCGCTGGCCAGGCCCCAGTCTGAGGTCAGGTTCTTCCCTCTGTGACACCTTTGTTAATCATACAGGGGGGACAACCAGAAAGAGAGCTGTGCCACCCCTCCCCAACCCATCTGTCCTGAGCAGTGTGTGGACAGCATCTCCCTGCCACGCCCTCCTGTTACCATCTTCACACTGACACACCTTCCTGTTCTAGGCAAGTCCTCTATGCATGCCTAAATAATCATGGCCTTGAAGCCCAGCTGCATTAGGCTTACCTGTGGATACCTGCGCTTGATGGATGTCAGGGCTCCTGCTGGCAACTTGGCTAGCTCCGAATCCCGCACCGCATGCACTGTGGTTGCCCTGGCCTGATGGGTCAGTGTCTCCACCTGAGGGACAGGAACCAGGGGCTGGGGCCATGTGACACAGCCCAAGGGCCCAGCAGGAGCAACAGTAGTAGACACAGCCTGAAGGAGAGCTGTGCATAGCCAGGTTGTAGCAGGTGAGGGCAGGAGCAACACAGCTTGCCAAGCTTCTGCTCCCACAGGGAACAATGTGTATCACTTGTGACAGTGCTGTAGACTGCATCAGGGACTGGATGTCACAGAGCTCACATGTGGCCCCAGCAACCCAGCATGTTCCAGATGCCATAGGCTGGCACAAGGTAGTCTGAACACTCCCTCAGATATAGTCACACCCTCCCAAGAAGGAGCCATCAGATGTGTCCTGTGAGGATGTGGGAGTCCTGCCAGGTGGGGCTGAGGAACCTGCAACAGAGACCTACAGGGTGCGCCAGAGCCAGTGGGGGTCAGGAAGCCCAACTCTAATGTGGAAGATCCCTTCCTAGGCAGTGCTCAGGGGAGGCAGGCAGAAGCCACAGAGGACCAGGCCTTCCCAGGAGGAAGTGGCCCTCAGTATATGCTCACAAGGCCCGTTGAGCCTCAGTAAGGCTGCCCCAAGGCCCAGGAACCAGAGAACATAGCATGTTCCAGGGTGGTCAGCCATAGCTCAGGACCGAGAGACCTATCTGTGTCAGGGGCCCTGGAAGCCAGGATGAGCTGCCGGTCACTCTTGAAAGAGACCTCAGGTGGTAACAGTGGCCCCTACCCTCCAGGGCTTCAGCACCAGCAGGGAGCAAGTGAGTACCTAGAATCCAGGATCCAGAACCCCAGACACATCCCTGAACAAAGGCAGGGCCTAAGCTCAGCCAGCAAGCTGTGGGGGATCTGCCCCACTGGAATCCTTCAGCGCTCCAGGCTGGATCCAGAGCGTTACAGAAAATAGGCAGAGGCCTGACACCTACCACCCCAATGAGGTCTCCGCGGCCATACTCCCCCACCAGGCGCTTCTTCCCATCCTCCTTCCGAATCACAGAGCGCAGCCGGCCGCTGAGGACAATGTACGTGCAGTCGGACTTATCTCCCTGCCTGCAGAGACACAGAGGCCCCACGGGGATGAATTTCCTTATATCCCAGGCACCTGGGAGTACCATGGGTCTGTGCATGCCACATATATGCAGGCACAGCAAATTTGCACAGACATCTTTTCCAGCCTGCACACTAAGTCCACATCATCTTTCAGTGGACACAAGAGCCCATTAGCAGTGACCTTTAGCTTTTGCCTGTACTGCAACACACCTGTGGGCCTCACCTGTATATGGCACGTCCCGCCTCCACTTCCATCCAGTCCAAAGCAAAGTCAATCTGCCGTACAAAGGACGACATCCTCTTCACGACAGTGTGCGCCATACCCAGGACAACAGCTGGCTGCTTCCGCATGATCCTGCCGGCAGCTGGAGTCACTCTGCTGCCCACTCCCAACAGGCCCACCACTTGGGGTCACAGCACTCGGGAGCCCATGGGACCTGCTGCCCTGCCTCCCAGACAGTGACGAGATGCTGCTGGCTGGGACACAGTGCAGACTACTGGCTGCTAGGGCCATGAGAAGCCCTCCTCGGCACTGAGCTCCCTGCTGCACAGGCCACTGTAAGACCAGGGTCCTTGCAGTGAGGTCCCACACAGTGCATTCAGACTGAGGGTTGAGGGCAGTGAGTGGCGTAGGGGCGAGGGGTCTATTCTGGGTGGGTAGAGTGGGCAGAGGCTCTGACCCAGGAGGACGTCATCCCTGGGGCAGCAGCAAGGCCTTCCTGGGGTGAGATGGCACAGCTCACAGACTGCTGTCAGCCACACCGGGTAGGACAGATGCCACTGTCATTTACTGCAAACAGGGGGATGGGGGCTCCACCTCTCCATACCCCAGGGAGATGGCAAGACAGTCCTGATACTTTCATCCTGGGTTTGAGGAGAGCCCCAGGACCCTGGCAGTATGATGCCTATAGGATGGAAGTGTCTACAGCAGGAAATGTCATACCATGCATAGACGTGCACACACATGGACAAGGACACACATGGATACATACATACACTGACAAGGACATGCACAGGGACACACACATGGGCAAAGACACGCATGGAGATGCAAAGACAGATTCAGGTAGACATATTCACAGACACATACACACAGACTTATACACATAGACATGGGCAAGGACTCACAGACATGCACACAAGGACAGACACAGACACAGGTAAACATGGACAAGGACCCACAGATAGGGACACATAGACATAGACAATAACAGACACACACATGGAAAAGGACACAGACATGTACACATTAATATGCATATAAGCAGAGACACATACAAACACGGCCCAAGACAGACATAAACACATACATGAGCATGCAGGGTCACAAGCAGACACAGAGAATAGGCTGTGTAGAAAGCAAGGCCATAGCCTGAGACCCATGCTGGGCATCTTGGGTCCAGGATCCGTACTGTCCTTCCTGTGCTCTCCCAGTGCAGCCCAAAGTGGGGGGCAGTGTGTGGTAGCACATGCTGTATCCAAGACAGCAGATCTGTGCAGCACAGGAAGATACAACTCAGTTCTGTGTGGGGTCCCCTTGCCAGTGGAAGGGCCTGGGAAAGTTTCCACCTCCCAGAGCCTTAGTTTCCCCATCTGTGAAATGAGTCCTCGCCAGCACACTGAAGACCTCAGATACAGTGGCAGGATACCACCCAGAGGGGCTCATGCCAATCCTCTCCACAGTCTGAGGCACTGTCCTCACTCTCTGGCTTCCTTTGCTGAGGCTGCTGTCTTCTGGGTAGTGGGATAACTGCTCTGGAAATGCATTTGGCTGGACTGGGTTTAACATGTTCAAGACAGAGCTGCAAATCGTATGTCTCACTGTCAGGTGGCTGATTTGAGTTTCATGGTCTGATGCCAATCAGCTAACAACCAGTGGTTAGAGCTGTGTGGGCTGGCCATGCATGTACCACCAGTGGTTCAAGCTGGCAGGAACGTGTTAAATTGCTCAGTTTCCACCAGCCTGTGGACTCTGTGTTTTTCTACCTGGCCCAGCTTCCAGGCAGGAGAATGCTGTGATCACAGCAAGTGTCTGGCATGCAGGAGGCAGATGCCTCAGAAACACACAGAGAAAAATGGCTCTGTGCTAGAGCTAACAGTTGCAGGGTGGAGCCTGATTTGATTTTGGAAATTCTGGAATGATGCACCAAAGGAGCCAGCAAGGTGGAAATAAAACCGTTTTTTGTTTGTTTTGAATCAGGGTTTTGCTAAATTGCCCAGGTTGGGTTCAAATTTGAGAGATCCTGCTGCCTCAGTCTCAGAGTACTAGGATTATAGGCCACATCTAGCTTGAAGCAATTTTAATCTGGTTCCCTGGGATCCCTCCCAGGCAAACCTCCTGAACACAGGGCCAGTAAGGGACATGGCCCAGGACTTCCCAGAAAGACCAAGGATATCTCTGGGCCAAGAGGACAGGATCTGGGGTCAGGTAGACAAAGGTTTCCATCCTGGAACCTGGATACCAACCTTCTCTGTCCTGAGCAGCAAGTGAGTAAGCTAGGGTGCCCTCCTTACCGTCCTGCATTCCTAGCCCAGAGCCGGCCTCCTTAGCATGTGCAGGCTGATGGAACAGGACAACCCCACGGCTCTGGGCCAGACCCTGACATCAGCCAGCCCCCAAGATGGGTAGCCACCAAGGGAGCCACAAGACTCCCCCCAGGCACACAGAGAGGACGGTACCAAGCAGCTATCTAGGGGACAGGTGGAGACCACTGGCTGACTGCTGAGGAAGGGAGCACAGACATAGCCATTCACCCAGCTGTGGCTGCAGCCCAATGGGCCCCTCAAGGTGGCAGCAGGCCTGGCCCTGCAGAGTCCCCAGGGACAGAGAACATGGGATCACATGAGTGCACAGGAAGGTAAGCGGGGATGTGGGAGGTGTCCTATACCTCCAAAGAGGCAGGAAGAGGTGACTCACTCATAGAAGTGGGCCTTGGAGATGGACAGGAAGCCACAGTCCTTGTTGGCCCGGATGGTAAACATGAGGGGCTCGCCCGTCAGCACAGCCAGCTGTCCCACCATCTCCCCGGGATGCGTGAGGAACAGGCAAGTGTCTTCCTGGTTGTCAATCTTCCGCTGGTACACATGCAATAGTCCCGAAACCACGAACAAGATGTTGACATCCTGATAAAACCAGAGGGGACAAGAATTTAGCTCAGTGACACCTACCTTGGAAGTGTAAGGTCTTGAGTTCAATCCCTAGTACCAAACAACAACAACAACAAAAACCCAGAGTGGGCTTGATATGCAGGGCAGTGACCTGGAGTGAACAGAAGGACCAAGGCCTCAGCAAGGTGACCAAAGGGCTCCACAGGGCCCCATGAAGCTGTCTTGATGGTTACAAGTGTTGCTTTGCTGTTGTGGCCTCTGTGTATCTGTAGACATAGGTAGTCCTGCTCAGAACCTTCTCATAGTGTCTACAGTATTATTATTTGTCTGTCTGTCTGTCTGTTTTGGAGACAGGGTCTCACTATGTAGTTCAGGCTGACCTTGAACTTACTATGTAGTCCAGGCTGGCCTAGAACTCACTGATCCTCCTGACACAGCCTTCTGAGCACCACCATTCCCAGCAATTATTTAATTACCTATCACAGGAAACTTGCTTTTCCCATCTCAGAGCATGCACCTTCCTTTCCAGTGCCCTCCAACCTGCTGCTCCACACATGTCAGGCCACTGCTCCCACAGAAGGCCCCACCACTCCCTGAGAAGCTGTGATGAGGCCCACATGGCTGTCTTTGTAACCTGATGGATCCCACCCTGCTGTGGGCCAGCACTTGATGCTAACAGCTCTGCCACCTTGCACACACCGCTTCTGCATGTACACTTACAAAACCAACCTCTCTGTACCCACAGTGGGGCTCAGTAAATCTGCCCTCCTACCCCAATCCCTCAGGTTCCAGCAAGAGGGCTGGGGCAGCAGGTACCATGTGGGCAGCTGAGTACCAGGCTTGGGGCTGCCAGAGGACACCTGCTCATAGAGATGGTGCCAGGAGGGTGGCAGCCTAGTGAGGGGATGCCTCCCTGAGCACTGCATCCAGCTGCCTTGACACCCACCAGCACAGTGCCAGCAGTCCCCATGCCCAATACCCCACGACAGGGGCACATCACTCACCTGGTCTCCTTGTCTTGATACCACAGTGCCTGCAGGGACATGGAGAAAGGTTACTCGTCCCTCCAACAGGGATGGATCCTAGAACATGAAACAGGTTTCAACACAGGGCCTCAAGAAGCACCGGGGTGAAGGCACAAAGGACAAGGCCAACAGGGAGGCAGAGGTAGCAATAGCACAGCTACAGGCCCTCTCTGAGTATGATCACTAACAGAACCATGGCAGAGTGTGCACAAAAGCACCAGGAATATTCCAGATAATGCAAAATCAGCAGTATTCTGGTGACTTATGTAACAGACTGGTTTCACCTGAGTAAGAAGGGAAAAATAATTTCATAAAGGACAATGGTGAAGATAGCACCTGCGCAGACTGACTCAGTGGGCCCCATCCCATGCTGCTTGAAGAGACTAGTACCCTCATGTGACCCATCACGCCAGGGGCAGCCCAGAACCAGAAATCGTCCACGGTCACTTGGATGCAACACAGGACAGCACACACACCTGTGAGCAGAACTCCTTCAAAGCCTGAAAACAGCAAAATGCTTGAACCCATATTTCATAGTGATAGTAAAAGAAAAATAAAAAGAAAGCTCACTGGCCACCTTTAGAAGCTGACAAGGAACTAAATCATTAACTTAAACCTCTCAAACCAGGCTGGGTAGAGCTCAGTGGTGGAATGTGTGCTCAATATCCAGTACCATAAGAAAAGTAAAATTTTAAAAAAAACTAACCCTCTCAAATCTTGTGAAGGTACATAAGCCTTGTGCATCAAAGGCTGCTAACATCCCCCAAAAGAAAACCAGAATCGGGCCAGGGATTTAACTCAGTGGTGCTGCGCCTACCTGGCAAGCACAAGGCCCTGAGTACGATCCTAGGTACGAAAAAGAAGAAGGAAGAAAGAAAGAAAGAACCAGCATCAAAGGTCTCCAAAGGAACAACAGGGCACTGTGAGACACAAGACCAAGCAAAGTCAGGCGTGACAGAACACAGCAGTGGGCTTCAGTCCTGGGAGGCCCTTGAGAAACTCAGGGAGGAATAGTCAGCCTCTCAGTAAAAGGAGCTTTAAGAACTAAAAGTCAGACAGGAGAGGGGACCTACAGAGAAGGTGGAAGGAACACAGCACCCCTCCCCAGAGTGGACCTCCCAACAGCTGCCATGAGGCTTTTAGAACTGCAGACACAGGGCAACCCACTTGGGACCCCTCCTGTCTCTCAGGAGCTATTCCTATTCTCCACTCTACTCCCCAATAAACCTTTCCTACCCTTAAAAAAAAAAAAAAAGAACTGTGGACACAGACTAAAGAGCTGAAGATGGGCAGGAGTGCTGTTAAATCTTGAAGGACAGCAGTACGGTGGTTATGTGTTAAAAGAGCCCTGTCTTTTAGAGATGAATACTGAAGTATTTACCAGCTATATGATGATAGAATTGGCTTGAGTTGGGCCATGAGGAAGAAAACAGACTACAATGAGAGAGGTCCATCCATTCTGTGGTTTTGAATCCCTCATAACAAGTGTTGAAAGAACACTTAAGAAACTCACCAACCAAGGTGCACAGGCCCTGCTGAGAGCCCGATTTGCACATAACAAGGACAGATTACTAAGAGCCACTTGTAAGGCCATCCAGGAGCTGTGAGCACACAGCTGGTTGATACCACAGCCCAATAGTAAGACACTAGGATTAGGAAAACACTGGGCTCGTGCCCCAGGGTCTTCACCTTGAGAGCAATGATGTGAAGTGAAGCAGTTTAAAGTTTGCAAACAGAAAATAATTGGAGGAGCACGGTGTGGTGCAGAGTTACTCCAGCACTCTGGGATGCTGACCAGGATCCTAAATTTAAGCCCAGCCTGGGAAACTTAAGAGAATTAGCAAGACCCTGTCTCAAGAAATAAAAAAGACTAGGGATGTAGCTCAGTGTAGAGGCCCTGGGTGCAACGCCCAGTACTTCAAAAGAAAGAAAAAAGGAAAGAAGGGAAGGAAGGAGGAAGGAGAAAATCAAACAACAGAAATCAAACAATGGGGGTGGGGGGCTAAGGAGTACAGCTGTGAGAAAGGACCAGCCATGAGTAGGTAATACCTGGGCCTGGAGGCAGGTACCTGAGCAGCGAGATGAACCAATGACTGAGGACTCTAGATAATAAAAGTAAGTTTGTTTAAAATTATTATAGTGAAACAGAAAATAGGATACAGAGATAATCTGAAAATTCTACTCCCAGATTAAATATAACTCCTTCCAAATTTTAAACCTAATTAAGGGACTATAATGTCCAACTTTGAGTGATCTGGATGGCCCAAGAAACTGCAAAAGGAGGGGCTGAATATGAGCCACCCCACTGCTGCTGTACATCTACCAAAAGCAGACAGGACCCCTCCGCAGGAAGATGGGTCCTCTGGGGTCCCCTGTGTCCATAGCACTGGCACTCGAACACTACACAGCACACGGAATCAAGAACTCATGGGGGCGGGCAGGATGGACATGCCTGTAACCCTAGCACTGGGGAAGCTGAGACAGAAGGAGCTCTGTGTGGACTACATAGTGAATTCAAGCCCAGCCTGAACTACACAGTGAGGAAAAACAAAACAAAACACACAAACAAAAAAACCTCATGAAGACTAAAGAAAATAGAGGCAACTTAGAGGGAGTGATTGCAGATACAGTAATGCCACGCCACACAAAGCCAAACCTGAGACATTTACCAAGAATTAGAAACATCTCGGTTGTGACAGCAGACATTCCTAGAAAGTAGACATTCTAGAACTATATAAATTAGCCAAACTATAGCTTTAACATCAGATTAGACACTGGATAAAAAAGTCACTGAATGTAAGTGAATACATCAACACACACAAAAAAACATATTTTAAAAGTGGAAAACACAGATGAAAGAGCCAGGCTCACAGGAGGTAAATGAGAGCACAGCTCTGCGCCTCAGAAGGGGAGGCATGTGGAAGACAGCGCCCCACCCTGAGCTCCACCCTTTCCCGACAGCTGCCACAAGGGATTCAGGGACACAGACTGAATGAAGGCTGGGGAGTTTCATGCAAATTCAATTAAAAAATCCACACCCAGCTCTATCACAGAGAAAGTGCAGAAAACCAAACAAAGCTCCTAATATCAGCAGGAGGAAGCACTGTCCTCAAAGGAGGAAACACTAGCACAAAGCTTTCTTTTTGCTGGGCTGCTGACCAGGAGTCTCTGCAGCACAGACCCCTCAGGAATCAAGGCCACAGCTCAGTGGCACAAATGTGCCAAGCAAGCACGAGGCTCTGGGTTCTATCAGCAACACCAAAAATAAAAGGTGACAACAAGCCAGCTTTTAGTGGCGCACACTGTGATCCCAGTGCTTGGAAAGCTGTGGCAAGAGGATCACTGCAAATTCAAGGCCAGCCTGGGCCACACAGTGAGTTCATGGTCAGCCTGAACTGAATAGTGAGACCCTGTCTCAAGAAAAACAAAACAGAAAAAGGGTGGTGACAGGAGACATGACATATGTGCACGAATGCCATATAGGCATAAAGGCTCTCACAGTAACAAGTGGGCTGGGAGCATCAAGGACAACCAGGGTAGGGAGAGGTACCTGGTTTTGCTTTTCTACCTTGTCTCCCAACTTTGATCCGAAGGCTGCACCCATCGAGAAGCCATGCTAGGGTCCGGGATTTAGCTCAGTGGTTCTGGTGACTATCTCGCAAGCACAAGGACCTGAGTTTGATCCCCAGTACCAAAAAAAAAAACAAAAAACCAAAAAAAAAAAAAAAAAAAAA